ACGCCTGCCCATGAGGGCATATCGCAGCCAGGCTCTGGGCTCTGATCCTGCTGCCTCACCTGGGCCAGCCTCTTCCCTTTGCCGTGAGCCAAGCCGGTCGGACGCTGCCAGCCAGGAGTCCCGCCGTGCATGACAGTCCCAGCTATTAGGATGTGTACCCCAGCCCAGTGGTGGCAGCAGCGTGGAGTGGTCCTGGCCATGTCCTTCAGGCTGGCTGTGACCGCTGCTCCGCCACCCTCCCGGGGCAGGTATTGCCTCCGACCTTGGTCTGTCCTGCGGTGCTGCAAATCCCTCCTGCCCGGCACTGTGACTGCTGAATCGGCAGCGCTGGCTGCAGACGGCTGCCCTCGCTCCTCTGGGGATGCAGGTGCAGGCAGGATGCTGCCCATCAGGGATGCTCAGCATCCAGCCCTGGGGTAGCTGAGCGTCTGTGCCCCATGGGGACTCCAGGGGTGGGTGCCACGTGTTGTGCCTGGCTCTGGGCTGGGTGCTCACTGGGAAAGCAGGTGCTGCGCTGGCCCCAGTGGTCTTGGATGGGGTGGGACAGGACTGGTAAAAACAAAATAAAACAAAAAAACAGAGCAAAAAACCAATCCAAAAGGTCATTTGGTGCCTTGTATCACCACACGCTTGCCCAGGAAAAGCAGCCTGGGGGACATGGCTCAGTCTGCAGCTGGCAGTGGTGGCTGTCCCCAGCAGCTGGGGTGTGTGGCATCCCCTTGCCTGGCAGGTCGCTGTGTGGGCACAGGCATCCTTCCTGCCCGGCTGGGGCTCCACATCCCCCGTGTCCCGTCCCTGCAGGAAGGGTGCCGGCTGGCTGCCCCAGGGAGAGGGGAGGCAGGAAGGAGCTTTTGTCACTCATTGTCCCCTGCTCAGCTGGGAGTGACAACAGCTCCTTCCTGCCCCACGCTTCTGGCCTGGCCGTGGGGCCGATGGGATGGGGCTGTTCCCACGGGGCCACAGCCTGGTGCAGGGAGGGCAGGGGGGAGTGGGGCTGGCACGGGAGGTGGCCCAGACCCCCTGCCACTGTCCCCTGGGCAGTGTTGGCTGCTGGGGATCCCAGGGGATGTGGTTGGGGGCTGTTTCACGGAGACCCTGCTCAGTTCAGCCCATTGCTGGGGCTGCTGCAGGCTGGCAGTCCCCCGCCCTGGTGATGCCCTCTTGTCCCCCGATGCCCTGGACACTGTGTACCCGATGTCTTACCCGGAGCTGGTCCCTGCCACCCTGGGGCATGCAGAGAGGATGGACAAGTCCTGCCCCCCGCTGCCAGGGCTGTGGCTCAGCCCCTGTAATCTCCTTCCCACTCCAACTCACTGGCTTATTTCCTGGCTAATTCCCCAAGCTATAAATACTGCTCTGCCTTGAAGGGCCCTGAGGCCCCATGGCCACCCTGCAGAGCAGGGGCTGGTCCCCCTAGCATGGGGGCAAAAGCTTTTGTTCCTCCTGGGGGCAGAGGGTGTCACCTGGGGGGTCAGCTGCTATGGGGCCAGCAGGACCTTGGGCAGGGCTAGCTTTAGCCAAATTCCTCCTGGCTGCGTTGGGGGACAGTCCAGTGCTGGGCAGGCGGTCCCTCGGGCACCACTATGGATGATGCGAGGTGTCCCCAGGAACCTGTGGGGATGGGGAGGTGGGAGGCTCAGGGCCCAAGGGGGAGCCCCATCCTTTGGCTGAGCATCCCCCCCTCCCCAGGCCGCAATGAGCCCCTGAAGAAGGAGCGTCCCAAGTGGAAGAGTGACTACCCCATGACAGATGGGCAGCTGCGCAGCAAGCGGGATGAGTTTTGGGACACAGCACCCGCCTTCGAGGGCCGCAAGGAGATCTGGGACGCCCTGAAGGCAGCTGCCTATGCCGTGGAGGCCAACGACCACAGCCTGGCCCAGGCTATCCTTGATGGAGCCAGTATCACCCTGCCCCACGGTGAGGGATGGCACCAGGGGTGTGGGTGGGGTGGGTGCTGAGTGTCCCTGTCCAAGCACATCGGGGTCCCAGGTTGGAGAGGAGAGGGGTTCCCAGCTGCCATCCATGCAGCTCAGCTCAGCCAAGGTGGGCAAGATGGGCTCTGCCCCGCTGCCTGTGTTGGCCCCATGCCTGTTTGGGGGGGTCCATGGGGATGCCTACCCACAGCATCTCACCCTGCTCTCCCCAGGGTCCCTGACTGAGTGCTACGATGAGCTGGGCAACCGGTACCAGCTGCCTGTCTACTGCCTGGCACCTCCCGTCAACCTGATCCTGGAGCGGAGCGACGAGGAGGCAGTGGATCCCGCCGAGCCCCTGCCCAACACCCGGCGGGAGGTCACCCTCAAGGTGCGGCTCTCCACCGGCAAGGACCTGCGGCTCAGCGCCAGCATGGGCGACACCATCGGGCAGCTGAAGAAGCAGCTGCAGGCACAGGAGGGCATCGACCTGGCCTGGCAGCGCTGGTTCTTCTCAGGCAAGCTGCTCACCGACCGCACACGGCTGCAGGAGACCAAGATCCAGAAGGATTTTGTTGTGCAAGTGATCATCAACCAGCCCCTGCCACCCAGGAACTGAGCCGCCCCCGCACTGGTTGCGGGGAGAGGGCAGGGGGCTGGCAGGCAGTGGCACCTCTGGGGATGCCTTGTGCCATGTCCCATCCCTGCCGGAGCCAGGGCAGCCCATGCTCCCCCCCCGAGGCTGCCCCCCAGCCAGGTGATCCCCCAGGAAGGTCTGCATGGGGCTGTGCTACCGCAGTGGCCCCTCTTGGCTGGGGACACGGGCAAGCGCCGCGTTTGCTGCAGGAGGTTCGAGACCAAATGTCTCTGAGGTGGTCAGCGTGGCCAGGGCCCCGCTGCCAGGCTGTGCTGGCGGGGGGAGGCTGTGACCCACTGGGCTCTGTTTCCCCCTGGCCAGAAGGCCCCGAGGTGCTGGGCTGGGTGGAGATGTCTCCCCTCTGTACATAGTCTGTATTTATCAAATAAAGCCTTTTCATCCTTCTTAGAGCTGCTGGGGGGGGAGGGAGGAACATGACGGACACGGACGACATTGTCACCCACAGCCATGGGAGATCTCCGTGCCTGTCCTATGTCTGCTCCTGTGACAGGATGGACACAGCATGGCCAGGGAGAGCCTGGGTGCCCCAGCTCTGCTCCCTGGTGCCACCCTGACCCTGTCCCACTAGCCTCGGCTCTGCCCGGACCCTTCCCTAGCGCTGCTGCCATCGTCCCATTGCCATCCCCACTGCTTACCAGTGTGGGGCCACTACCTCCCTTTTCCCAGTGTTCCCCTCCAGAGGTTTCAGCCTGTGTCTGCCCTGGGGCGAGGCAGGATGGTCCATGGAGGCGGATGGTCCTGGGACCACCTTTGCAGCCACCATCACCTGTCACAGTGAAAATGGTGCCTTTCTACAGCCGGAGGCTGGGGTGCCCATGGGACAGGGCACCCAAGGGTGGCTCTGGGAACTGCCCAGGAGGGTGACAGTGACGTGTCCCTATCTGTCCTTCCCCCAGGTCCTGTGCCGGGGGCTGGTGCCCAGCGCATTAACTGTTCCGGCACAGGGCAGTGCCGGCCTCATCTTACAAAGGGGGAGAGCAAAGCCCGGGGAGACTGAACAATGTCCCCATTGCCAGGAATAGCTGCCGGCTCTGCCGGCCGGTCCCACTGCCAGGCTGCCCGTGCGTGGCGGGGGAGGCCAGGCAGCCACCGGGACCCTGGCAAGGCTGCTTGGGACGCTCCGTACCTGAGATCATCCTCCAAAGCAGCACGGAGGGGCCGCGACTCCTGGCATCACGTGCTGCCTGCTGCTGGCTGAGAGGTTTGGGGGGCCCCATTGCCCGCCTTTGGGGTGGGCAGCAACCCCCGCCCCCGGGTGCCAGGGAGCCTTGGGTGCTGCAGTAGGTGCTGCAGCATCTGGTTGCATGGGGATGGGGTGATGGGAGCCATGGGGAGCATCCTGGCTGCCCAGGGTGGGTGGCACAGGCACAGGACCCACAGGGCGACCCCAGCCCATGTACCCACTCCGCCAAACCTCTCTGAACCAGCTGCCTGCGGGCTGTGTGTGCCCCAATTCCTGCACCCAGCATGGGGGTCCCAGGCAGCCTGGAGGGGGGGCGGGGGCAGTAAGTCTCTTTAAGAGGGTGTGGGGCTGGGGAGGTGAGTCAGGGCCACCAGAAAGCAGGAGGGTGAGCTCATGGCAAAGCTGCCCCAGTCATGTGGAACAGTCACAGCTGTCGGTGCCCTTGGGCCACGGAACGGAGGGACCGGCGGCATAAAGCCCCGCAGCCAGCGGAGCTGCCGGCAGCACCGGGAGCCAGGGCCAGCAGCTCCCTACCCGTGGAGGCAAGGAGGAGAGGCGGCATCCTGCACGGGGCTGTGCACCGCAGGCAGACATGGAGCTGGATGTGGAAAGGGCCAAGGAGCTCATTGAGCAGAAGCTGGCGGAGGAGGAGGAGGAGGAGAAGGTGGGTCCGTAGGGCAGGGGGATGTGGCAGCGACCCGCTGTGTGCCGTGCCCGTCCTTAGGGCCCCGGGCATGAGGCGGCTGGCACTGACCCTGCCATCCCGGGGGATGCAGCAAGGTAGCCAAGGGTTCTCAGGGGCATCAGGTTCCAAACCCGGGAGCTCTTGCTGAGCAGCAGGCAGGTCCCCAGCTTGCTGAGAGGGGCCAGCGCGAGGGCTGCCG